CGTTGCCAGACGCGCAAGCTCAGCGGCCATGGCTCACGGGCCCAGCCGCTCCGCAGCACGCGGGATCCTCCCGGACCGGGGCACGAACCCGCATCCCCTGCATCGTCAGGCGGACTCCCAACCACTGCGCCACCAGGGAGGCCCCACAAGTATGTATTTTTGCACTTCTTTTTCTCCCAAAGCAAAATGGATATTTCGTGACTCACATTGTTCTGCATCTTACATTTTTCACTTTGCAATCTCTCTTGAAGACATTTCCATGTCATTAGAGCTAGGTCTTCCTTTTTCTCTCTTTTTTAAAGCTGCTGTCTAGCATTTGCCATTGTGCGGCTGGATTCTAGTTTACTTGGTCCTCTTGATGCATATTTAGGTTGTTTCCAACTTTCCCCCTCACAGTCACTTTTAAATGAGGAAGAGAAAGGGGAATGTTACCACCTCGAGCACTTGCAAAGTGATTTACGGTTTTTGACACAGCGTTGCCTTTGTTCGTCACCCATAAATTCTCAGTTTCCAAGATGTCTATATGGAGATGTGATGCATCTGGCGCAGCCTCTCTTTTCTGTTTTCTCTTGTCTGCTTCACTCTACTCATCCTTCAGGTCTCAGATTAGATGTTTCCTCTGCAGACTCTTTGCCTGACCCATCTGTGCTCCCACAGTGCCTTGTCATACCGTGATTATTTATCATGCTATGTGTTAACTCTCTCTCCCAGACTAGACCACACGCTCCTGCCAAGAGGGACCAGGTCATTTTATCTCCACATCTCCAGGGCCTGGCACATAGGCGGTCTCAGGAAACATGCACATTCTGACTGGATGACTCTCCATGCTGAGGGCTACATAAGCAGGCTCCATATGTGTACCCTTTTATGGTGGGCAGAATAATGGTCCCCCAAACATCTGGTATCCCAGTTCCCGGAACCTGTGACTATGGTATACATGGCAAAAGGGACTTAACAAGTGTGATTTAATTAGGAATCATGATATGGGGAGATTATCCTGGATAATTTGGGTGGATTCAACATAATAATTTTAAGAGGGAGGCAAGGGGGTCGGAGTTTGAGAAGGCAATGTGAAGATGGAAGCAGACGTCAGCGTGATGCAGGACCACAAGCCAAGGGATGCAGGCCCCTCTAGAAGCTGGAAAAGACAGGGAATTGGATTCTCTGCTAGACTCCAGAAGCAACACAGCCTGCCCACGTGTTTTGGACTTCTGACCTCCTGAACGGAAAAATAAAACATTTATGTTGCCTTACGCCACTTAGTTTGTGATAGTCTGCTACCACAGCAATAGAAAAATGAACGCTATTAGATACTTTCGCCTACTTCTGTCCCCGCGCTTGCTTCCCCCAAGGTCTCATTCATCTGCTTATTGCACATTTATCTAATGGCCACCATGGGCAAGGCACTGTGCTAGGTGCTGGTATTACATGGGCAGTAACAGCAGACATGAACTCTACTCTCTTGAAGCTCACAGAGAAATTTATACTCACCGTCTTGATTAGGGGGCACTTTAAGCTGCCGTGACAAACCCCCAAGAAAAAACTATCTATAATTTTATTTCTCTCTCACTTAACAGTACATAATTGAACAGTCTAGAGCTGTTTATCAATAGCTTTGCTTTTATCAACATGTAGCTTTCATATGTGGTTCAGAGCCAGCAAGAAAGGAAGAGGGGGGGAGGGAAGGAGAGAGAGAGAGAGAGACAGAGAGACAGAGAGAGAGAGAAGAGAGGGGGGGGGGAAGGCTCATACAATTATTTTTAAGAGCAGCACCCAGATTTTGAACATGTCTCTGACCAGAACTTACAGGCCAGGTCTAGCTGCAAAAGTGTCTGGGGAGGTGGGGGCATACAGGCTCTAGAGAGTGCACTTCTAAAAATGGGAGCGGGGGGGCTTCCCTGGTGGCGCAGTGGTTGAGAGTCTGCCTGCTGATGCAGGGGACACGGGTTCGTGCCCCGGTCCGGGAAGATCCCACATGCCGCGGAGCGGCTGGGCCCGTGAGCCATGGCCACTGAGCCTGCACGTCCGGAGCCTGTGCTCCACAACGGGAGAGGCCACGACAGTGAGAGGCCCGCGTACCGCAAAAAAATAAATAAAGAAAGAAAGAATAAAAATAAAAATGGGAGGGGGTTTCTGTTACTTAAAGGAAGAAGGGAAATTTGGCTGCTGGGAAACCGTTAGCCATCTTCACCATTACAACTATAGCAAAAAGA